ATGATGCTGAGCAATTTTCTAATTGAAATCATGCCCTTAAACACACCATTAAAAAAGTTAATTACGCGAAAATAATCAACAAATTATTGATCCCGAACTTTAATAATTTTCCTAAATAGGCCCCTGGCCCACGACCAAAACGACACAAGCCTTTTTTTTTTTTTTTTTGCGACGCGTAGTTTTTGCAATATCGAATATGTCCACCTTTCGTGAAACACACTGTAAATATATCCGTGTATAGTTGTACGTATCTATATATATGTACTATCCGTTAATAAATATATCCGTGTATACTTGTATGTATAACTTGAGGAGGAAACAAACACTGCATGCGGTCATGGGCGTTCATGAGCAGTCATGCGGTCATGAGCAGTGCAAGCCAGACACGCGGCTGACCCCTGGATCAGGACTCTGAGTCTCATCGTCTCCCGCCCAGGAAAAAGTCATCCACGTATACAGTCCATGTTCGCAGTCATACACATTTAACAAGTCGCACTTCTTTTTGCAATTTTTGAATATTTCAGCAAAAGCTATAGAAGCGCGAGCTAGCCCACGCTCCTGACCTTGAGACGTGTGCCATAGCCTCCTCTATACTCACAAAGCCGGGCGGTTCGACGACGGAGCCATAGAGTGCCCAGTCGCAGATTTGGAACGCGAGGATCTGGTTGCATAGAGCATTTCTCGGGTAACCTGGTCGTTCAAACCCGACGAGAAAAGAGACGGTAGCGCGAGGAATGCGAGGAGCACGAGCGGACATTCCATCGCTCGGGAGAAGTGTGTTGCGGCGTCTCGCCGCAGCGGGGCGCCCGTCACGTGGCTCTCCTCTCATCCGTTGTCTGCGGCTCTACCTTTTTAATTTCGGCGGCAGCTCCTCGTGTCAGGCTTTGTCAGTATAGAGGAGGCTACGGACGTGCATCAACAGCGCGAGTGTTCGTCCTGCTGAAGAACGCGCTTCAAAGCAGCGACTTCGAGCTCTCGTGCTTGTGGCATTGACTGCAGTGTCAGATTAAAGGGGCGGTGCAACGTTGGAATGTTTTTTTCACTTCACACGCGCTTACTGGCACTAGAGTCACAATATAAAGTGACTCTGGGCGCGATCAAAAGAGGCTGCCAAGCACGACAGACTCGGACACCTCCGAACGGTCTTCACGAGCGTCGGACGTGAAAAAGGTGCGTCGCATAGACGAGCGTCCGATTCGCGGACGTCTCGAACCGCAGGTTTAGTCCCGGTTATGTTTTTACAGTTAAGCTGGATAAGACTCGCGGGTGAGATTTTTTCGTGTCCACGTCCTCACGAAAAAAACAAAAAAAAAAAATAGCGATTGAAGCGAAAAGTGGATATCACGCATAAAGCATAGTATTCATTTGAATAAAGGACAGGTACAAAACAAGCATCCGAACCAGATTATTGATGATAAGGCGCCACTGATAAAAATGTGAAGCACGTAGGCTCACCGCATACGTTTCCCGGTAAAGATTTAGTAGAGTTTTTGTGGACCGCGTTTCCCCCTCCGCGAAGCCCTTTGCAACGAAGAAGCCGCTAATCCTCCCGCCCGCCGATGGCGTTGACTGTAGAGCTCCGGGTATCGTAGCGTGTTGCGGAGGGCTTTGCGGGACGGCGAAAACGATCTACGAAAACTTCCTGCTGTTGCGCAAGCTGCAGCGGCGACGGCAGCTTGCGACGTAGGGAGCGACGTCACCAGCCTTCCATATATAAAAAGGTTTGGTACCATTTACTTTTCTTTCGTCAATCATTCGGTATATACCAGGGGTGGCCCAGCTGCGGCTCGCGAGCCGCATGTAGCTCTTCGCGTGCTAAAGCGCGGCTCGCGGCTCCCTCTCTCCCCCCCCCCCCCCCCCCCCCCCCGCCCTGCTCCCTCGCCTCCCTCCCGATCACACGAGCACTTCCCCAAAAGGAGATATCAAACGCGTTTTAAATCGAAAGACAGGTTGCGGTTAGGTAGCCTTGTGCTACTGCTAGCTTACGTACAATTGGACTGTTTTTGACTCAGACTGAAAGTAGTTCGAGTTTTGCTTCATTGCTCTGGACAACCGCCCCCCCCCTCCCCTTGCCCTGCTCCCTCGCCTCCCTCCCGATCACACGAGCACTTCCCCAAAAGGAGATATCAAACGCGTTTTAAATCGAAAGACAGGTTGCGGTTAGGTAGCCTTGTGCTACTGCTAGCTTACGTACAATTGGACTGTTTTTGACTCAGACTGAAAGTAGTTCGAGTTTTGCTTCATTGCTCTGGACAACCGCCCCCCCCCCCCCCCCCCCCCCCCCCCCCCCCCCCGGGCGGCTGCTGTAAGTTTCATAGCCTTGTTTGCGGCTCTTTGGCCGAGTCAGCTTGGCCACCCCTGGTATAGACCCTTTTGCTGTTCACAAGCATAAACTGCCGCTTGCCTCCCAAGCAACTTTCGGTCGCACAGTATGTGCAAGCCTTGCTTATGTCACCAGTGCTATAGACCAACACGCGGCCCTGACGTCACGCAGCTGCGGTGGCGCTGTTGACGGTACTGCCCATGCGCAGACGCTTCAGTTCACGCGAACCTGGTTTCTGCGCATGCGCAGTGCCCACACCAGGTGTGGGCAAACGCCAGCTTGTTTGTAAACAGCGTGTCGGTCTATACAAAGCATAAATGCTACACGCACAACGCAGTTGGAGATTTAACGAGGGCCTTCCGCTGTGCAATATAACATATTGGAGGAGGCAAGTTGGTTTGCAAGAATACTCAAAACATTTTGACAGATCTCGCACTCCTTCGTTCTTTTGGCGTTCACCTGGAGATTTGGTGGTTAAACGTTTCAACTGCATTTCAAGGAGCCGTGTTCGAATGGCCTTTGTTCATTCTTTTAGTAAACCAACAGTTCTCTGGGATATCAAAGATTAGAGAATCACCTGGTAGCGTATGCTCTAAATATGGTCTATAGTGCAGTGGGCAATCGTTGCAGGTGATACAACAGCTTCGCTGTCCAACCACCTTCACAGCGTGCAGCTGCAGTGAACTTTCTTTTAGAGCGCAGCTCTTAGGGGCCCGTTTCCGGCTTGAGCGGCGTCGCCGTCGGCGTAACCGCGCGGTGCATCATAGGAAATGTCCCATAATGCACCGCGCGAACCCCCCACCGGGGTCACGTGACCTCGTGGGGGGACACGTGACCCCCCCGAGGTCACGTGACCGCGCGGTGCATCATGGGAAATGTCCCATAATGCACCGCGCGAGCCCCCCACCGGGGTCACGTGACCTCGTGGGGGGGCACGTAACCCCCCGAAGTCACGTGACTCCCCTGAGGTCACG